GTTAGTTACTTACTTTGTGTTTATGATTAAGTGGTAGTTAGAGAAAAAGGCCTAACTGAATTATTCTAGAATCATCTGTTTGTATATATAAATAGAAGTGTAGTTCAGTTACAACACACACATTTTTTCAATACATAACAGAACAGTTTCTCTTCTTCTTCTTCCTTCTCTAATGGCAGTCATCAATGGTGATTTTTGCTCAAGCTTTGTGAGCTAAATTTTTCAAATATAATTACTTTTGTCAACTGACCAAATATATACCTCATACGTAAGGGTTGGGGTCCAACATATGCTTTAGGAATTTTTCTAACCTCTTTTTTATTTGGGCAACTTTCATATGTAGCAAATAAAAAATTTATATTTGTATGCTATGACAAAGTTTGCATAATTGCGCTTCATAGCAAACATAGAAATTGTATAATTCGCTACACATATACAGTTGAAGCAAATTGTATAGAACGAAGTTTATAAAATAAGAAAGAGAAAGACACATGGGCAGAGAACTGAATAAAAACAAAATGTATAAAACGAATTGTATTATTATAAATGTATAGAACGATTATATACTATTTAAATTTGTATAAAATGAGAAAGAGAAAGACAAAAGAGACTTGACAAGGAATATACAATTGAATCGAATTGTATAAAACAAGAAAGAGAGAAATTAGATATAATTTGAAAATTGTATAAAACGAGAAAGAGAGAAAGGCAAAAGAAACTTGGCAGGGGAGTATTTTTATTATATAATTACAAGTGTATAGGACGAAAATATATGTACTTGCATGTGTATATACAATTTTCTCACGCTTTATACAAACAGAAACGCAATTTATACATTTCGCTTTTGTTTGTATAAGTGAGAAAGGCGAGGGTGGCGAGCGAGATTTTGGGAGAGTGGCAAGCGAGATCTGTAAGCGGGGAACAAAAATATATGGACTTATACAATTTTCTCTACTTTACACAATTAGAAACAACTTTATACACTTGTGTTTGTATAAAAAGTGAGGAAGCGAGCGAGAGATTGGAGGAGAGTGGCGAGCGAGATATTTGGGAGAGAGGCGCCTCACAATTTTTTGCAAACGTTTGCTATGACGCACAATTAAATCAAACCCTAACTACTCCATTTATTTTAGGTTATTAATTTGCTATTATATACAATTTTCGCTTTTTATTTTTTATACTGTTAAAATATATAATTTAAATTCTTCCTTGATAGACAATTCCTAATTAAGTTTAAATTTAAAAATCAGTGATTGACAAATGACAAAGCACACTACCTCGTAGAAACTTCCTTATTGCCTTGTGTCTATAACACCGGCCAGTAATTTGCACCATCATTTAGTTATTTAAATTTTGACCTCGTTTAAATAATTTGTAAAAATATTTTGGGTATTTAGTAAGTTGGAATAGTATAGTATGTGAAGTCTCACCATATTTTATACATATTTTGGATATTTAAAGGACATTTTATAGGAATTAGACGATTTTAGTTTTTCGTGTCTGTTACCCTATAAATATTTTGATAATATTTTTTGGACGATTTTTTTTCAAAATCTTTACGGAACCCTCCTTAAGGAGTTGGGATGACTGTCCTGTTAAGAAGGCAATCTCACTCACCCTCTTGACCATCGGAGGGAATACGTGAAGCCTCACTATTTTTCTACACATATTTTTGGCATTTAAAATTATATGATTTTCTCAATTATTCGTGGCGTTATTCCAATGAACTTTTTGTTGAATGCCTTGAATCGGACCCGCTACAAACAGAAAGGACGGGGGTCTCGCCTGTTAGGGCGTAGCTTAGCACTATATATAGACGCTATGGGAAACCCTATTCTGTAATTCTGTTTTTGCCTCTCCATAATAAAACTGTTCCCTCTCTTCCCGTGGACGTAGCCAATTTATTGGTGAACCACGTAAATCTGTTGTCTTGTTTTTCGCGTTTATATTTTCTCGTATTATCTCAAATTCCGCACAACACTTTTTACCTTTTGTATTTACAAAAAAAAATTGGTCGTGATAGTAGGTGGAACGATTGAGACATATTCCATAGTCATGTTGTGGTACAAAGTTACTTTTTTTTTTCCTTTGTGACTTGCACTTAAGCCGTTTAAAGTTTCTAATTCAATTTTAATATTATCGGATTATTAAAAAGATAATATACATATATGAAATAACAATCGTGCATGAATAAGTAAAGTAAATAATATTAAAAAGTAAAGCAAACAATGTACTAATGTTTAAATCGTTCATCATATAAATCAATTACTAATGATGAACATGAACAAAGAAGGTTCAAACATAGTCTAAGGGGAATTATGAATGACGTAACGACTCATGCTGCTAATGACATTAAAGATAAAATAGACACTTCAAAATTAAATTTAAATTTAATATGAATTTCTCTTTATTTATTTTTTTTAGAATTAACTAAAAGAAAAAGCGACAAAAAGAGTAATATTTTTACCAACACAATACTAACTTTAATTTGTTCTAGATTTGTGTCACTATTAGCTTACGATAAGTTTTTACCTTTAATTTTCCTCCACAAATATGTATGCATGATATCTTTTTTTTTTTTAATTGGATAAAATGACGAAATGAAAAGTATTCAAAAAGATATTAAGTGCGTTCTTATCTTAGTCCTTAATTCTTAAATTAAATATATTTTTTATATAAAAAAATATTTTTTTATATTTGGTATAAGTCAACATTGTGCTATTATGGATTTATGTCCCATTGATACTGACCCAAAACAAAGTATTTACCTAAAAAAGGTATACGTAACAATATTCTATTAATTACTGTAATAATATTCTTAATCTATATTTTAATTACCATATGTCTCGTTTATATCAACGAATAAAATTGAGATGAATTCGTATTTATTATCTGACCCTGCTAATAATATGATGGTTGGACATATCACATCAAAAATTAAATAGAAAATATTAATACAATGAATTCAAATTCTTGAATGACATATGTCGATAAATTATACTCCTTTAATTTGGATACATCACATTAAAAATTAAATAGAAAGTCGAAAAATTATACTCCTTCTGTCTGGACATATCACATCAAAAATTAAATAGAAAGCATTAATTGAATGAATTCAAATTCTTAATGACATAACTCAGTTAAGCATCCTTCGTCGAAAATTATACTTTCTCTGTCCCATGTTATATGACACTTTTTGTTTTTTCGAGAGTCAAACAGTTTAACTTTGATTGGGCATTTGCGTATGTAATCTTCAAATTTTTTGAAATGAAACTTATATATTTGTAAACAACGTAAAGGGTACATAAGTCACAATAATTGATAACTCAAAATGTTAAAAGGGATCTATGAAAAACTTACGGCCAAAGATAGACTTGTTTAAATCTCAAAATGCGAAAAGTGTCACATAAAATGAGACAGAAAGAGTATGAAATATATAAAAAATTATTTTTCATAAGTACATATTAAATCTTAAATATCATTAACAAATTTTCTGACTTCGCCATTGCATAACAATGATCGAATCCCAAAAAAAGAACTACTAATTTTTTGTGGAGTGGTTGCCATGTAATTCTTTTGTCTCTACTATCAATTGGAGTCTTTCATTTGCTACAAAGGAGAAGAAGGATGAAAAGAAATAATAAAACTCTAGAGGAGATGAATGGTAATTAATTAAATCCCAATTAATTAATACAATTCAAAGTCCATTTATTCCTTAATTAACTAACTTTTTCTAATTAATTAAATATATGTGTGTCGCAGTTGATCTTAGTGGGATTTTAACAGCTGAATCAGTGCAATATGACTTTAGTACAATTCAATTTGCCACAAACTACTTTTCTATCGAAAACAAAATTGGTGTAGGTGGATTTGGTGATGTCTATTAAGGTAATTCGGATTGATTATACCATATAATAATTTTTTTTTAATATAAGCTATATACAATGACGATATAAATATTTTTTACACGATAACTTGCTAATGGACAAGATATAACTGTAAAGAGGCTATCAAGAAGGTCAAGTCAAGGTGTTAAAGAATTTAAGAATGAAGTTGTACTTGTCGCTAAGCTTCAACATAGAAATTTAGTAAGACTCTTAGATTTGTGCTTGGAACGAGAAGAAAAAATACTCATCTACGAGTTCGTGTCCAACAAAAGCCTCGACTATTTCTTATTTGTTATGCTTGTTTATATGTCTCACTTTTTTTTAATTAGATTGTTATATTGTGTATTTCTCTTATTTCAATGTCTCGCGTGATATGATTAAGATACGAAGAAACAAACAACGTTGGATTGGTCAGTACGTGACAAGATTATTAAAGGAATAGTACGAGGATTAATTTATCTTCATGAAGATTCTCGTCCTCGAATCATACATCGTGATCTCAAAGCAAGCAATATTTTGTTAGACAAAGATATGAACCCTAAAATTTCAGATTTCGGCATGGCTAACATAATTGTTGGAACATAGTACGAGGAATATAATTTACTGTATATCAGTGTATATAGAATGATTTTCAACCCGAATCTCTACATTTATTGAGGTATATTCATCTTTAGACTTGTACGCCTATGATTTTTCATATTCCATCCTGCAATTTCGACTTTCCACATGTATATCATTGTGTTTTGGGACTGTATATATAAAGTATATCCCTCCCTTTTTCGGCTTTCCGAAATCTGAAAATTTGATTTTCAGCCCTTACTTATCATCTTAACATGTACTCCTTCTTCATGATTTGCAATATAGGGCCTTTATGACCCCTTGGTAGTGCAAGGGAGAGTCCAAAATAAATTTGGATTGATCATATGCACTGGAAGAAGAGGGGGAAAAAAAAGTATAATCTATAGACAGACTAACAATGTGAGGAAAAAAATTGGAATTGCATTGAATAGTTTTTCCTTTCTTTTGTTTTGTGGGCTGCACGGAAAGAAGTGGGTTGGGTAATAATTGGAATAGACTAATTATTAGTCAAAAATAATTAGAAAAAATGGCCCAACACTTGGTCTAAGAATTAGAAAATTAGTCAAAATTGAATTTACTTGGTGAATTCGGTCGAAATAAATAAATAAGATGAATTAATATAAGTTAATTTGATAAAAAATTTAATTTTAACGAAATAAAATAACCGACTAAATTATAAAATAGCTAATCCAAAAATGTAGACTACTATATGGCTAAACTAAATACTTTAGTAAAGTATTTAAACA